AGATGTCACTGCCAAACATCACAGTTGCTCACACGAAAACAATCTGGCCAATGTGAACAGCAAGATCCAAGTTTCTTTATTCTCTGCCAACTGATGGCAGAAAGAAGGTCTTATTCAGTTCAATTTTTTAACAAAGTCCACAAATGTCATTATCAGACAGGAAGCTTACCCTAAAGTTACTCTGCTTAGTAGTTTTTCCATCTTTAAAATTGGTTAACTCCAAAAGAGTGTACCAGATTCCCTTCTGCCACTATTCAACAGGACTCAATCTTTTGTTTGGTTTTCTTTTGTGTTTTGATCATTTCAAAACAGCAACATTCAACTTCATTCAACTGGAATAAACTTCCAGAAAACTGCAGAACAGCTGAAACCCTGAGTTCCTTTAAATCAAAGCTATAATCCCACCTGTTTAGAGTTGCTTTCAACCCAAATTCACTGGACCAACACGGGTCGATGATCTTAGCGATGGCGTTTGACAAAATAAAATGTTCATTATTGGTTTCATAACTTGATTGGTGAACTGATCATTTCCATGTGGTTTATTTATCTACAGTAGGTCTTGTCAGATTCATTTATTTCTCCATGTTCATTATTGTTTGTTGCCATATCACCTAATTAATTTGTGTTCAGTTCTGTAGTTTGTTCTTGTGTTCTGCTCCAAAGAATAATTTCCTGAACTGCAAACTGTACAGATTGGAGTGTAATCACAAATCTGACATTCTTGAGAGTAATATTTTAATACATGCCATTGAGACATGGTTGAATTTAGCGCTTCAGTATCAGCGGTAAATTCAACCATGTGTTTTAATTAAGGGTTAATGGTGCCCACCACTGCTGCTGAATAATGTTGACTTCAGAATTCACTTTTTTCAACATGCTCACCCTTGACCTCTCATGACCTTGAACCTAGTTCAGTTATAAGGATTTCTATCAAATTTTGACAGAAACACCACTGGGTATCAAATATTCTTCCCTCTAGGTTTGTGAATTTATTTATTTGTTACAAATTGTGCAGCAACTTGGATTAAAGGGACCTGAGGCCCAAAGGTCAGGAGAGCTCCATTCCCGATCAAAGTGGTCTGTTGGTTAAGAGTGAATAAGGTTTTGTAGATTTTCAAAAAAAAGTTTTATCAGCATTTAAAAGTAGACTTAATTGAGTAACAGTTACGATTTAGGAGTTCACTTGTGAAAATGCAAAGAATTATCAATCAGATTGCTGCGGCACATCAATATAAAATAAATACAGAGTTGAATGGCTTCGATAATTAGTCATTTAATATATCCAATTCATATTATTATTACTTCACTCTTACTTATATTTTATTTTTGATTCCACAGTCATATTTTGTTTTTCTAACTCATGTTTCAGAAATGGAACAATTGTAAATATTTTTACACAATTGTTTTTACACAAAAATGTTATTTTTTGAATGTGAGGTAAAATTCATCATTCACTTTAACCCTCAGCCCCCTGTGAGTATCCTCAGGTGCCCTCACAGAGGGTAACGTTTCGGACGAAACATTACTCCGAATTGTTTGCCAGTTGAACATCGGGGGCGAGCGGGTTAACGCCCCTGGACGGATCGCCAGCACATCCCAGGGGGAACATAGAGACAGACAACCATGCACACACATTCACACCTAAGGAGAATTTAGAGGGACCCCAATTAACCTGACAGTCATGTTTTTGGACTGTGG